GGGGCTCCTGGCCCAGTGCTCATCTTGAGAATCTCTTTCTCCAGGCTGTGTCCCGGGAGTGCAGGGGGAAATGATAGGCGTGTACATCTGGCAGAGATGGGAGGAGCATGCAGTGATCTTGTTTTCTCTGATTGGCTGCTGTGGGAGGTGACCAGCAGCTGGGAGAAAGCCACCAGCTTTCTGAAGGTAGAGGCACTGCCAAGCAGATGTGGGTGCTGTCGTCCGTCCCCCAGGAAGGCCATGGAGGACAGAGGTGCTGTTCTATCAGGTCAGCTTTTCTGGAACGGGAGCCCAGGGAACTGTCCCACTTCTGCCTGTCATGGACTGAGGGTGGAGACACCGCAAAAGGACAGGGTCTTTCCAAAGCCCTTCTCTGGCCCACTTAGAAGAAGCACAGAGACCTGCCCCTGGGTGGGGCTGAGGGCGGAGTCAATAACAGCTCATATTTAGGTCCAGGTCTTTCTCTGCTCAGAGCCTGGTAAAGCCTCTCAAAGTGCCTTCTTTAGTGAGTTTCTAGAGCCCTCCAGAGTGGGCCTTTCCCAAGAAAGAAAGTCCTTTCTTCTAGAAAGGCAGAGCACAGGAGGAGAGCCACGAGAAGGGAGACGTGGTCAGAATGGAATGGCAGCAGGGGCAGAGGAAGGGCCAAAGGGAGGAAAACCAGCAGTGTAGACACTGCAGTATCGCATCTCAAAAATGAGGTACCAACATCCCACCTGGCGGATGCAGAAAGGAAGGCCCACAGAAGTGCACTGGCTTGCCCACGGCTGCAAACTGAGAGTCTGCATTCAAAGCCAGAACTGTGTGATCCTAGTCCAGGAAGGAATCAGGAGAGGGAGTGGCCCAGCGACCACATGGAAGAGAAGCTACTTGGGTGGGGCCAGAGGAGGTGGGAGCAGGATAGCCCTAGGGGAAGAGGGTTCCAGAGCACCATCGTATCCCTTCCCTCCACCCTGTGCTGATGTGGCTGGGGACTGATAGAGTACTCACGAGCAGGACCGAGCCAGCTGGCAGAGGCCACAGGTGGGCTTCCGCATCAGGTACATGGGCCAGCCGTAGGCAGCCAGGGCGAAGAGCATGTAGTAGCAGACTTCTTTGTAGCGTAGCATCTCGTGCTGGAGAACAGGATGCACAGGGTGGTAACCTCTGCCTCTCCTGCCTGCTACCTCAGCCACCACCAGTTCCTGAAGTGGGAGCCTGCCTACCTGCTCCAGTGGGGGACAGCTGCTGGGCCCCAGGGTGGAGGAGGGGCACCCCTTCAAACACTCACCACATTTGCCCAACTATCTCCCTGTACCCAGGGCAGAGTATACATGAGACCTACCCTATCACTACAGTCTTAGAATTCATGATTTGGGGACAGAAAATCGCTCAGACTACTGACTTGTTTACCCAAGAAGGAAGGGGGTGTGGGATGTAAGTGGCAGTCTCCCTGCCTCTGCAAGCAGGCCCTGGGAACTTAATCCTGTCAAGCCCTGGGACCTGTGGCTTGGGGCGTCTTGCTATGGGCAACAAGATGAGCCATGCTGGGCATGGAAACATGTCACCAAATGTCTCTGGCTCTCCAGTTTGACTCATGGAGTCCCAGGTTTCTGAGGCTGGGGGAAGCTGTCTCCCTGAGATTGGGATCACACTGGAGAAAGGTGCCACCCAGGAGTCTGCCGCCCAACAACTGCTTCTGATGCTGTGGTTGGTATCAGTGCTACAAGCTGTCCAGAGGCAGGATGGCAGTGTCCCAGGAAAGCCTGTCAGTCAGTCCCCAGCCCCTGGGCACCAGGACTGTGGCACTTAGAGGGAATTAGTCACCTTGTAAAAGTTAAGGAGGGTGATTAGTCATCTTGTGAAGTGAAACAGGTAGGCCTCAATCAGCACCCTCTGCCTGCTCTTCAGAACTCAGGAAGGAGCCAGTAGCTGCAGAGGCAATTACCCTGGGTGACAGGACACGGAGGGCGGGGCACTGGCAGCCTCTGCACCTCCCTGCAGGGGGTGGTAAGAGCCAGCCAGGCGAGGCCCTAGTGAGTGGCAGGCATCTGGCTAGGGGCGCTGGCTGAATATGTATGTGGTTGGTGAAATGAAGTGATGTCAGCACTGGGGAGACAAGATGCCTGGGGCTTTTCTAAAGACAGATTCCCCAAGGGCCGAAACTTCTCCAGACTCAGTGCTGGCACCGAGTATCCAGCACCTTGCTGGACTGGATTTAGGGTGGTCACTTCCTCCTACTCTAGCTCTGGGTGCAAGGTATGCCTAGGGCATTTTACACGTAAGGCCTTAAGGAGGAGAGACTTACTCCATATTGCAGAGAGAAGCCATGGAACAGGGATGTACCTAATCAGTTTGCTTTCCCGGGGCCAGGCTGAATGGTTTCTGCTTCCAGCTGTGGTTCCACCCTTGGCCATGCTGGCCTGGGTTGGGCCTTCATACCATGGGACCCACTTTCCCTGTAACCCATGAGCTTTCTACTTAAGGTGCTTGAGGAAAGTTTCTACTGCTAAAAAGGCTTTAAAATGGTAATGCCACACCCCACTGCCTATCATGAGGGCAGCAGCAGCAATAACATCACAGCTCAACCCCATGAAGCACACGATGCAATCTCTAGAAGCCAGGGCCGAGTGCTTTGGCGCTTGGCTAAGAGATTCAGGGTTCTGCTTATGGGAACATCACGATGTGAATGTGATCTGAGAGGAGACTCCTTGGACGGTTGAGCAAGAGTGGTAGGGTTGGCTCACACCATGCAGTTGTGGGGAAGTGGTCTGGAGAAGCACTGGGGGGAGGAAGAGAATTCTGACTCACCGAGTTCTTGAGGTCGAGGTACTTGGTGTTTCTGGTCACTGGCATCCCAGACAGGAAAGCCAAGATGTCATTGTTTGCCTGGAAAACAGGCATGGTAAGATGGACAGTGGTCCAGACGCAAAGATGAGAAAGTTCAGTTTCAGTCTGCTTCAGATGTCTGAAGGAGCATGAGGCTTGCAGTTCTTCCAGTATTCAGCAGTTTTCCAAAATCATACGTCCCTGTATTTCTAGTTCCTTCCATTCTACCTGTACCTTCAACCTCCAGGGGATGGCCCTGATCCACCCCAGAGGGAAAGGGATTTTGTGTGAGATGTATAGAGACCAGAACTGGTGTGCTGGAGAGGACAGGAAGGCAGGGCAAACTTCAGACAGAAGGCTGAAGCGCTTGAGCTGACATTGATCATCTAATCCTAGTGATTAGGATGTCCTTGGAGGCTGGTCTCAGAAGCAGCCACATGTGATCCAGAGAACAAGCCACCCTATCAGGAGTCAGGGGAATGGCTGGCTGAAGGTTTCAGCTGGGACAGTGGAGGGCAATGAGCAGTAAACAGTGGCCTGGGGACCCGTGGGGGAGAGGATGCCACAGGATCAGCAGCAGGGGCCACAGGAGAGCTAGGGGCGCTCACCTCATCCAGCACCGCATTGCGCTTGGCTCGCTGCCGCTGTCGAAGCAGCACCAGGCCAGCAATGATGTCGGAGGGCACGATGTCGAGGTCACGGAAAAATTCAGCAAAGAGGTAGGCAATTTCTGAGTAGGCATCCTGTCAAGCAAGGCCCAGGAAGGCAGGAGGCGGTGGCAAGGCAGCAGGAGAGAGGGGAGAGAGCATGAGTGAATCCCCGGGGCAGGCTCATCAGGAACCTCCCTAGTACTGGTCAGCTTGGCCCTCGGGCAATGGCTCTAAGCAGCAGGAAGCTGGGGACCCTGTTCCGGGTTCTGGGGACCCTGTTCCGGGTTCTGGGCCTTGACCATCTTAGCTGCTGATGCTTCCTCCTCCTCTCAGACCTCTTCTCTCTACTGAGGTCCTACAGCTCATGCTACCCTTTGCTTACAAGTGTCAGCCTGAGCCCTTAAAATTTCACAGTCGGTGGCCTCTCTGGCTTGGAGCTGGCCCTGAGCCTTGGGTAGGAGGCAAAGGACAGCCCTGCCAGGTGTAAGTCCTGGGTCTCCCCTGCCTTTTGCTGCCTTGAACATGTCAGGAGGGGAAACAAACTCATGGCAACTGAATCTGTCTCACTGGGTCCCACCCTTGAGTGAGCCAATGGTGGCAAGCTCAAACTTCTAAGGGGCAACACAGAACCCGATACTGTTTGGCCACAGTTGCCCAGCCCAAGGTGCCAGATTTGGACACACAGACATTTATGTAAATACTACTGGTTTTTTCAAAGACTGACATTTAAGTCTAGCTCTTTAGCAACAACATACACTCTGATGGAAATTGCTCTGATGGGATCTGCCCCTGGGCTGTCTGTGTCTAACAGGATCATGCTCTGGACACATGTGACCTTTATACCAATTTCTCACAACAGCCCTGACTCTGTGTTGTGCACAGGAGAAGACTGCGTCCTTCACAGGCCCAGGAAAGCCTCGTTTCCTCCTGCCAGAACTCCATTCTCTGCCCTCTGCACCACACACCTGCTATCACGATCGAGCGATCTCACAGGCAGCCCTGGACACCCGCCCCTCGAGGTCCTCACCTCCTGCCAGGGAACATTGGGGCTTTCTTTCACTTGGTTACTCACTCTACGGTCCCTGGGGGGTGCTGTTGGGGTGGGGCCACTCCAGGCTTCCTGGGGACATGTGAGGTGGGCACTTTGCTGTCTGCTCCAGGGAGGAGTGGTCTCCTGACTTCTCTAACTCCACTACTAACGAGCTGTGCGATACTGAGTAAATCATTCCATCTCTCTGGGTCTCAGCGGCCTGATCTACAAAATGGGGGGTGGAGCTGGATGACCTCTAACCTCCGTACCCTACGCTGAGGGGACATAGCCCCCACTCAGAACCACCCTTAGCTGATGCTGCCTCCCTTCTGCTGAGCTTGCTCCTCAGAGCTTCAAAGACGAAGGCTACCTGTGTGCCACCATCCGGAGGCTAAGTCCTCAACAGCACCCCAGGCCTTCCAGATCTGTCCACACTGCTGGCCATGTGTTACTTTTCTGCTCCTAAACTAAATGTGTGCCCAGGGTATCAAGTCAGTCTTCACGACTTTCTGTTTCCTCAATAAAACAGGTGAATGGCTGCTTTAGAGGGTGGAACAGTCTGTCAGTGAAAGGGCAGACTGTCCCATGAGCAAGCTGTCACTGAGCTCACAATCACAGCCCCACCTCCTGTCAGCCCCACCCACCTACCATTACCAGAGGATGAAAGGCACCTGCACGACAGGCAGAGGCTCTGAGTGAGACAAGCAACCCTGGGTACTTACTGACTGGGAATCTTTTGTCCGGGTGCAACAGAGGAACACTTTTAGACGGCGGGACCAGCTGGTGGCCTGACCCTCCTCTAACCGGTGCCTGTGAAGGTAGACAGTTGACATATGTGAAGTCAAGAACCAGAGGGGCTGGGCCAGATGTTATGGAAATAGGACAGTCTGTTCCCAGGACACACCAAAGAGCTCCCAGTGTGCCTTGGCAGGGGGCGGGGGGGGGGGGGGGGAGTAGCAGGCTAGCTACAGCTGGGTGGCCAGTGACCTAGATATCAGCTAGCCAGGGTATTCCCTGGAGATTCTTGCTGGCCAGCCTGGTGAGTTGTTGTGGGATGGTTAGTCCCTGACTTTTAGCAGACTGGGCATGACCTAGGGACTTCAGAGCTGGGATCGTCTGCAGCCAGGCATCTAAAGACTTAAATGAAGAGCAGTCGAGATGTCAGGCCTTGCTGTCCTCTCTGCCTTTCCTAGCAAAGGACTTCAGAAACTCATCGAGCGCTTAGAGGAAATCTGGGGGATCGGATGAGGCCCCAGCGTTTCCCAGTTCCTCTCAGCTGCTGTCTGCGTGGGACACACACTGCCTGCACAGCTGCCTCTGTCCAATCTCTTCTCCCTCTGCAGCTCAGGTGGGGAGACTGGGGCTCAGGAGTCAGTGAGCAGAGGCAGAACAGCAGGCTACTTTCCCGCAAAGATACCACCACGCTGGGTACCCAAGAAGTCAGTGTGCTTGAAGCACAGAGATAACAGCCCTGGCATCAACCATGTTCATCTCCAACTCTCCAAATTAAGTCAGCAAAGACCGATTGAGTTTTGAGCAGTGTGCTGCCCCCTTAAGAGCCTGTCACAGGATGGTCTTGGGGAGAGGAGCAAGGTGACACTCAGATGCATTCAAGGCACCAGGAATGACAGACTGGCTCTCAATGAGCTTCTTGGCTCCTCTCTGCAGCCAAGAATGGCTCTCCATTCCTTTAACCCTGACTACATAAGCAGTTGACCAAACGGAAGGCAGGAGGAGGGGCTAGGGATGATGTAACAGACCAGCTGTGTGGGGGACCTGCAGTCCCTAGAAAAAGAAGCAGCCTTGTAACCCAAACCAATAACCCACCACCCTTGACAGAGTGAAGCTGACCATGCTGAGTTCTTAGGGCATCACATACTTTTTGCTTTCTGATCCAGCCGGGCTTTCAAATACAGGATGTGAAATTTCCTCCCTAGCCTCCGGCCAGATAGAAGTGCTCACTCCACTGAAGTACCTCTCATGAACGCCAGGGGGCAGATGATAATAGGGATGTGTGAAAAGCTGACAGGTTTGGTCAAGTGCAGTCTACCAACCACACCAGGGGGACCACATACCAAGTCTGGACAGAAAGTTCATGGACCCCAACAGTCCTCTGTTGGAAGACTCACTATGTGAAAGGGGGACAGGCATTCCTCCTACAAAAACCAAGGCCAAGCCTCCTGGGAAACAGCCAGGAATAACACCCTCCCCCAGTCCCCACCAGATTTCACTGGAAAGAGAAAGGACCAGAAACTTAAGACACACTCCCGCCTTTCAGAAACCAAAATAACTTAACCATGTGGCAGACGGGGTGTGCACATCCATGCCCTTGGGAGTTGATAGCTTGAAAAATGTCCCTGTTAGAAAAACTGTTAGTTTTAGAGCCAGTGGAGGACACTCAGGCAGGGGGTCAGCTTGACAAAGTCTGTGGCCAGACTGTGCTCTCCAGCTTCGCAGGAGACCTGTAGAAACCACAGCAGGTCACGGGCCTTGAGCTATGGAAACCGCAGGGAGCTTCCTAATTAAAATGACAGCAAGCACCAGGCTCTGCTGTACAGGCTCCTACTGCCTGGAGCCCCAAAGGCAATCACCCAGTCAGGAAAGGAAGAAGGGAGTTTTCTCCAGAAACAGGTCGGGTGCAGCATGTGCTCAGAGCAGGCAAAGTGGGACAGGAGGAGGTGGCCAGCTGCACTGGGAGGGAAAAATGGGCTCTGGAGCCCTGGCTCCAAGGCCTGACATTTTAGGCTGGGAGGCAGCCAGACCAGGCATGGGTGTGGTGCTGGAGGCAGTGACAAGTTGATGGGCTGACGTGGAAGGTCTGAGGCGGGATGGGGTGGGGGACAGGCCTACTGGGCAGAGGTCTTGGCAGCCTGCTCCGCTGTGGCTTGGGGCAGTGACTCAGACCCTCGTCTGTAGAAGGGGTCTCACAGCTGCTCTGGGATAGCAGAAGAACTAGCTGGGTTAATCATCGAGGGCTAAGTGTGTGGCTGGCCTTATAGGGGAACCCTGATTTGGGGGCTACTGTACTGTGACTCATCCTGGGAACCTCCCTTGCTTTCACTAAAGAAGTCACTATGGCCATGCTGGACACAGCTCTCATTTTCTCTGCCATACCGTTTCTTTTACACACCAGGTGAAGTCTCCTCCAAGAAGCCTTCTGTGATTAACTTCTTACAACCTCTGGGAACTAGAGGGAGCATCACCTGATTGTCAAGTAAAGGCTCCTGAGTCAGGCTGAGAGCTAGTTCCCAGCCTCACCACATAACCAGGGAATCCCTTGGTTTCTCCACCCCCATTATAGGGAGGACATGGGTTGTAACTACTCTGAACAACGCTTGTGTCTCCTGCTGTTACTGTAAGAGACTGATCCCTGACAGCGGCTTCCCATTAACTCAGCCCATAGTGTTAACCACTTGGCATATATTATCTCACTTAAATCTCACACTGGCATCCTGAGACAAGAATTGTTACTCTGCTTATTTTTTTATTATTTTTACTTTTTTGAACAGGATCTCACTGTGTAGCTCTGGCTGACCTTGAACTCACTCTGTAGTCTAGGATGGCCTTGAGCTGATCCCAGTGCCTCTGCCTCACCAGTACTGAGTTCTAGGATGAAAGGCAAGTACTGCCACACTCAATCTTAGTCTTACTTTTTCAACAAAGGAATTGAGGCAGCAAGAGGGTGAAGCTTTCACGAAGAGCCGTGGCTCACACGATGTTGGCGTGTGATTTGGGAGGGGACAGGACCCTCCCTTGCCCACCAGCCTGCAGAGTTCCCTAGGGTACCACCCGCCTACCCAGTCGACTGACCGCAGGTTGTATGTCCGCAGATTTCGCTGCCTCCTCTTGGTGGCTCTCAGCTTGACGAAGGTGCGGCCCGTGGGGTCAAAGACACAGAGGACAGTGATGCAGACACTGAGGATCACCACCCAGTTGCAGACAACCATTCCTGTTGGCAGCCACGAGAGAAAAGAACTGATAATGGGTTCACCTTCCTGGGACATGAGCTCTGAACAAAGGAACACTGTAGCCTCGGTGTCCCCAGCTGCTTCTAAGACCAAAGAGCAAGACTCAGAAGTCTTTGGTCTCCAAGGCCCACTCATGGCACAGGGCAGGCAGCTCAGTGGGCTTTTGAGTCGGTATTGAGAAGTCTAACGCTGCCCGGACAGTCCTGTCTCTGCTGCTGCTCACCCTGGCGAGGGTCCCGAGTGAGCTAAGACAATACAGGGTGAAGGGCGCATCCATGCTTGGGTGTCTCCCTACAGTGGTGCCTGGACCCCGTCCCCTGCAAGCTGGGTCCCGTTACACCCTAGGGCTAGCTTCAGCGGGTGGGGCAGAGGGGGTGCATACCAAGGGTGACATTCTTAGCAGTGAGGTCATTGCAGGAGGTGTAGTACTGCGTGAGCCAGACGATGCCCACAATAGCGTAGATGAACTCGATCACCAAAATGGCTGCAAGAAGAGGCAGGGTCTGACTAAAGCTCACACTGTGTGCCACTGGGGAGGGCCCAAGAGCTTAAGCCTGGCTTCTGCTGCCAGGCCTCTAACCATCTCACAACAGGGGTGCACAGGGCCCTAGCTGGGTCCCTTGCATTGTGCTCTTAAGTCCCTGATGCCTCCCGAGACTCTGACTGGACAGGTGAACAAGGAAGCAGCACTCCCCAGCTTCTTCGGGATTTCGGGATTTCATGCACGAGCTCTGGAATCAGACTCATTTTAGGCAAGTTATCCAATCTCTCTGAGCCTCCATTTCCTCAACCATATTTGAGAATGCCAATAATTTCATCACAGGACACTGAAGACTGGAACTCACGAAAACTGCTGTTTCTCAGCAGACTTAGGAACTTGGTTTGGTGGGGTAAGATGAGAGGAGTCCCAGGATCCAACCCATGGTGGCCCATGCACTCAGTATTCTAAACCCAGATCCCCAGTGGGAGTGGGAGGAAATATAACAGTCTGGCAGGGCCAGCAATGTATAGTAGCTAAGAGCCTAGACTATGGATATAGACAGATGCATGGGTTCAAATCCCAGCTCTGACTCTTCCATCCTGACTTAGCTGTGTGATCTTGAAAGAGCTAATTAGTCTTTGTGGGCTTCAGTGTCCTCCTCTACAAAACAAAACTAACGTTTTCTTCCCCATGAGCTATGGAGACGTTTGAGACACTTGTTCCCTAGGAACATCCCAGAGGCTGCTAGGACATGGCCCTAGTGTGGGGATCTGGCTTAACCTGGCCTCAGGGTTTTCCTGGTCTGTTTCAGAAGGGGCCAGATAAATTATTATTATTATTATTATTATTATTATTGGTTTTTCGAGACAGGGTTTCTCTGTGTAGCTTTGTTGACCAGGCTGGCCTTGAACTCACAGAGATCCCGCCTGCCTCTGCTTCCTGAGTGCTGGAATTAAAGACATACCCCACCAATGCCCAGCTTGGAGTCAACTAAATTTGTCTGTGAAGAGGACAAGCATTTTAGATTCCGTGGCCATCTAGTTACAAAAGCAATTTCTCAGCAAGAAACAACACAGTGTGTTCCCCAACGAAAAGATGCACAAAACAGTTGCTGGGCCAGACTGGGCCCTTGGGTCTAGAACGTCAGTCTAGTAAGGCATCCCATGCTCCCCACGGTGGGTCTGTTTGTGTTAGCAAGCAAGAAAACCCTGAGGAAGGGAACATCCCCAGCCCCCAGCAAGGGGTCCCTTACCCAGGCGCACGTAGAGCACGTACTGCATGGAGTCCCGGGGTTCTGTGTAGAGGATGCCCCCACGCATGCTCAGCCAAATGATGGCCATCTCGGCAATCATGCAGCTCAGAAGGATGCCCAGGTAGCCGCGGCCGTGGTCCACCAGGTTTAGGGAGCAGGCCTCGTGTGGGTTATAGACCAGGCCGAAGAGCACCACGGACAGGATCACAAACCTGCAGAAGGGAACAGCTGAGCATCAGTGGGCGGCCTCTGTGCCCTGTGCTGCCCATGGCTAGCAGAACCAGTGCAGCTCAGCTGGAGGGAAGGGGGGCAGATCTCTTCCCAGCAATAACATTGTCCACCTAGCTTTGGGTGCCTCTGAGGTGCCTTCCTGTCAGCATGGGGAGGTGACGGTAGCTATTATGCCCACTGCCCCGGTCTGGAGGATTGCTGGGCAGGAAGGGTCCTGACTCGTGTGGGAATACCTAGAGGAGTGCCTGGGAGCAGGACAGTCGGGTTTGGGTCTGGCATCGAGGAACAGGTAGTCGGAAAGCTCCCTTCTAGACTTTTCTCCTCAAACCCAGGACTGTGGCCTCGGCTCTAAGACTCACCAGGTGGTGTGCAGGAGGAAGAGGAAGATGGCTGGCAGGACGAGGTCATCGCTGCCCACAGACCAGCGCCGCCGGAACACCACGATCCCGGGCATGGCTGGCTGCTCTGGGAGGTTCAGCGGGCCTGGCGCTCACCTCCTGAAAGCAAGAAGAGAACCCTGGAGCTTCCTGGGCTACTACCAAGTGTCAGCAACACAGGCCCCTTGGATGTTGACACCAATCCCTACCCATGGCTGATGGACCTCCAGGCACCAGGGATGCTGACCCAGGTAAAAGCTGCCCCATGCCCTCTCAAGCCCCATAACAACAAAGGACACCAGTCTCAGCAGTGACCCCTGAGGTCACTCCTGCCCACCCACCAGATTGCTACTGCCTAAGGTCATTCCCATAGTAACCGCTCAGCTGCTCTGAAGGCCTAGGCTCTGGTTGGCCAGCCTGAAATCTCAGCACTTGGGAGACAAAGCAGAAGGAACATGACTTTGAGGCTTAGCCTCCATCTCAAAAAAAAAAAAACCAGACAAAAGACCCTAAATTCATTCTCTCTTTCCCCCTACATGGGATCAATGGGATGCTGAGCCCCCAGGGCCCTCACTGTCTTTCAACAAGGAAATCTGCCTAGTACTCACAGCTCTGGGCCAAGGCTTCCAAAACCAAGAGCAAGTGCCTGTTAGCACAGAGCCCTGTAGAGTGGAAGGATTGCTGAGGGCTTGAGGAGGGTGTGAGAGGAGTGTGTGAGTGGCGGTGGCTGGGACTGATGAACAGCAGGGTGACGATGCCCGGCATATAGCAGTTCTTAGTAAGTCTTTGCACAGTGAGGTCTTCTTCTTCGCTGGAGCCCACTGAGCTGGGAGTGTGACTCGGTTTTGCACCCATCCGACAAAACTCTGAGCCACTACCATGGTTCTGAGCAAGGGAGGCTGTGGCGGAAGCATGGGTCCAGACTGTGGCTAGGGGCATCTGCCCCTCTGTGAGAATAGCAGCCGCTCTAACACACTCACTGCTAGCCTGATGGCTTTCACTGCTTGGTGCCTATTTCTCTGAAGTGGCTGGATACAACGCAGCCACCAACAAGCCCAGGCGTGGTGGTCAGGAGCTGGGGACCTCCTTTGGAGCTGGTGGTATGAGTGGAAAGCTGGTCTGAGCAGACCCCGTACTTGCTCCAGGGCAGAGGCTTCCCTGTGCAGAGAACTCCTACCACAGAGGACTGGGACACACTGCTAGTGGGCAGCTTCCGGCCACGGCCAGCAGAGGCTTACACGGCACCTGGTCCAGGGGTGGGCGGCAGGTCCTCCTCTCCCTAACGACAGCTCTAAGGAAAATATGTGTATGTGGAGACTGGACTCACTAGGGAAGGAACCAGGCAAGTTTTCTTAGACCAGTGACCATAGCCCTGACAGTGGACAAGGGGGCATGGGGCCAGTTGGCCGGGCAACATGTCATGTTGGGCCACGCTCTGCTGGGCTTATCTCCCAGGAGCAGCCACTGCATGCTCCCAGGAGGGTGCCCAGAAGCAGAGCTGGCTGCCTGAGCAGCGGCTGGACTAGCCTGCTGGGGTCGTGCCTACTCCCCCCTCAGGAAGTGACATCATCCCACTCTCAAGGAGGAGTCAAGCGGATTGTGGGAAGCAGGAGAAGGAGGGGAAGTGAAGAGGCAGCTGCTGCTGGGGTGGCTCGGGTGTGGGGAGGTCTACTGTGGACATGGGGCTAGGCCTGGAGCCACATCTGGACCAAGCAGCCCAGAACACAGCTTAGAGCTCGGAGGCACGGGATGGGAGAGGGCTGGGGCATCGGGTGACAGCAGGATGGGGGTAGGCAGCGCTGCCAACAGCTGGGGTACCTGTTCTCTCCCTGTCTGCAGGGGCTCGCAGAGTGGGAGGCTGCAGGTGGGACCCCTCCACCACACACACTCAGTGCACCCAGTGAGGTGAGGCTCATATCTTGTAGCCATGACTGCAGAGCCATCAAAACGTTGGAATGATAGGGCTAATAGCCTCTTCTCTGGGGGTGAGAAGATGGCCAGTTTGTGGCTAACAGCTGTGGTTAGCACCAGGGCATTCTATCATGTGGCAGAGTTTTGGGGCGCTGACCCCACACATGTCCTGTTACTGGCAGGGGGGTTCCATACCCCTCCAAGGTCCCTCCCAGCTTCTGCCTCGGGCAGCTAACACAGGTCCTAGGTGGGAGTCAAGGTCCAGGAGCTTCAGTCTAGCATCTACACCCAACTGTGTAACTTTGTGGCTGTGCCTCAGTCTCCTCATCCATTAAATGCAATGTTTCCCCCTTAAAGTTCCAGCCAGAATCCTAAGAGAGGTCTGCAGAACCCTCACAACGCTGGACAAATGCCAGAGCGCGTCCGTGGGGGTGGAAGGCTGAGGGAGTGCGTGTGAACCCCTGGCTGGAATCTTCAGCTGGTCACCACCAGGTCACAGGAGGGGGGAGTGGGGCATCCCCTGTACAGATTCATAAATCCTAAGGCTTCTGTTTTTATGGGCCTGAAAGGCATCCTTTCTCTGGAGACCCCAGCCCATCACAATGAGGGCCTGTTCCCCTGCTGGGGTGTGATTTCATCTGGAGGAAATGTCTCAGGAGGGGGAGGGCCTGGCCACTTCCTGGCTTGGGGCAACTGTA